TATATCAAGAAAAACAACTCCATTTATTTTGCCTTCATCCATGTCTTGTAGCCATTGATCACACATTTGTATAAGAGCACCTAAGGTTCCATGTTTTGGTCTAAACCCGGATTGAAATTTAGACAGAAGGGCATGTTTATTCAAAAAGCTATATATTTGAGTAAAAACTTCCCCTTCAAATATTTTACTTATTATGGGAAGAATTGAAATTGGTCTATAATTTTCGCATTTACGCTTATCCTCAGATTTGTAAATTGGAACTGCAGTTCAAATTGCGATACAACTGCTACGTGTGTAGCAGTTGTATCGCAATTTGAACTGCAGAAACTCATTAGGATCATTTATATTATCTTATGTCCAGTTGGATACCATGCAGCCAAACGTAAATAAACAAAACTATATACAGCACAAACCTCATTTTTACTTTCACCACACAAGCTTCGTTCAATATAATCAAATTCTTTTTGACTGATTGTTGCATGTTCACTTGGAGAGTTAGTTACCATAGAGAACCAAAAACAACTCCACAAAATTCCTAAAATACCTGCGTTGAATGGAAGAATATATGAAAGGGATTAAATTTCTGTTTACTAATAATTGTTTAAATTTATCATGAACACAAAATGTATTAACTTTCAAATTAACTACGGAAACAACAATTAAAATAATTTCAATTAATAACTGTTTAATATATGGTGTATCAAAAAAGGAACACCTTCTCGGTCCAGACTACTTCCGCATCACAGCGGCATCGACCAGCCCACGCGTCTCTTTATGACTTTATCCATGGCCGCACCCCTTGTATATAAGCGCCCTGGATATAATACAGTATAATAGAACAACACGAGAAATCTAAAACAATTAACCTCAAACTTACCAAAGAAATAAAATACTGCAGGCCAGCCATAGATTTTTATCAATATTCCGGACACTGCCATGGCAACTACAGTCCCAATAAATGCTCCTAAAATTTATTAAAAATTACTATGATAACGAGTTGTTTAATGTCGATTATCACGTGGGTGTGGTTTTTCAGTTCAGGCGAGAGGTAAGACAGATTGTGCTAGTAAATTGTGGAAAAGTTGCTCCAAGAAATCCTCAGAGTTGCTAAAACGTTGCTCAAAAAGGAAACGGTTGCTGCCAAAATCTGAAAATTTTCTCTTAAAATTTAGTGTTTCTAATCACAGAAATTGCATTGATTTGTTGTCTGCTTTATTGGCTTATCATTAACATCAATATTTTGCATTTTTGTAGTTGGTTCAATGTATCGTTAGCAATTATATAATTTTTCTGAATCAATGCTAATTTCCCTCCGACAGGGGGTGTGGGGTCCCCGACTGCCCTGCAACCCGGTTTGGGGCCACCCCTGAATTTTTGCTAGCTACATTCGGTTTCTATGCATTCATACCTGAAAGTGTCAACGCTACCATTCTGGATCTTTCTAAAACTGGTGCCCATCGACTCATCACTGCATGATTTGAAGAAAACATCACACCCTTAATGCATCGTTAATGTTTTTACATAACAGTAGTTTGGTACCATCATTAACGCGCTAGCAGAAAATGTTGTAGAAGTGCTGTCATGTTTTTAAACAGAACTATAGTAAACAATTTTATATTTTCGCGGATTTAGGAACGCCACCAATCTGTCTTATCTGGCAAGTATATGGTGTAAAATATGTATACTAGTAAAATCGCATACTGGAAAAGTCACTGAGTAATAAAGATTGACTTATACTAATTTGAGTGACTGTGGGTGCACTATTTTACACAGGTTTTTGAGTCAATTTTTTTGGGGTGTACACTTTAGCCTAAAATGGATCAAGTAGACGTTAACTGTTTTAAACAAATACGATCGTACTACTGGGACCGGGAACTGTTTACCACGTTGATCCATCGTTTAGGACTCAAACTTTTGCATTGTTTCAAACCCTTTTTTAATGTTAAATTATCAAAATGATCTAACAAAACACTATACTCAATTAATAGTTCTCGAAGTGGAAGAGTTTTATATTGGCAGCGTTGGCTTAAATGTTTTGTTTTAAGGCCGATTTACACTACATAACTTTTGCCTAAAACTGTCGCATGCAACCTGCTTACAACTTGAGTTGTACTGTGGAAATAAACATGGGCGAGGTCGACGAAAAAAGTTTTCCTAATCTTTAAAATTCCTTATTACTTTTACATAATTCTTGTATTTTCAACTACTTATTATATTGCATATGTCTTCTTCTTAAAGTTTCTCCCTCCCCCCCCAATTTTTTCCCGACTCACGTTCATAATTTTCCCGATTTCATTTTGACTGGGGGCAGCTTCCCCCTGCTCCCCCCATCCCGTACGCCTATGTAAATAAAGCACACAGCTCGCCTACGACAACGTTAACGGAAGTTAGTTGTGTGCTTCAAATTGTAAGCAGATGGCAAGCGACAATGTTAGGCAAAAGTTGCATAGTGTAAATCGGCCTTTAACTATGCCAATTAGGTGTACTTTGATGTAATTAGTGCGCGTAATTCAGCTCACTATTACCACGTCCATTAAAGCCTGGTTTCCATTAAATCTTAATCATCGCAATAGTCGCGGAACGCAGACATCGCTATCGCAAAAATCGCAGTAATTCTATTTTTGCGACTTTGTCGTAAGAGTCTTAGTTATCTGTGTGACTGAAGTTTCCAAGAAATCGCAGTTTTTATTAAAATTTGCGCGTTTTTAAAATCGTTGCAACGCTTGCGTTGCGGTTCTTGCGATAATTACGATTTAATGGAAACCAGGCTTTAACAGACAAACCCCAACCATAACAAATAATTATTATTAACAATTTAATCAAAATTTAATGGTTAGTCGCTGGTCCATGACTGTCTATGGTGAATATTAAAGATATGCATTATGCATATCATTATTCTCCGCGTATAGATAATAATTTCTTGTATGTTCAAAAAATCGGACACCGTCAATCGATGAGAAATATTGTTTAAAATCATCGTCCTAAATTTCTTGACGATCGGACTCAAAATGAAGAAGCCTTAGCCCGCTAAGCCTTAGGCTTTTTTCGAAGACCCCTTTAAGACTAGGCTCAGATTCCAGCCATTGTGTTCTCGCCACTCGCCCACTTACGGCTAGAATCTGAGCCTACTTTAAGACCTGATTCCACGACAGCGAAATTCTTCGCGCAAAATCGTGTCTACGAAATATGGATGGCTGCATGCACATGAGTGATTCTATTGAATTTGCACACTTTTTTCGCTTTCGCAGTGAGTAGATCTAACTTCTACTCACTGATGAAGCGAAATTTTTTCTCACGAAGCCTAATTTATCTTACTGCGCATGCACTTTTTTCGCATTTCGCCGAAGAAAGCGTCGGTGGAATCAGGCCTTAACAACAACAAGAAGGAGAAGATTAGCAGTGATTGGGGAGCAGTTTCTGGTCCAAAAATTCAGAAAGTACCTAGTATTATGAACTTCGTATCAGCATCATGGTGGCAAAATGCTACATAATATTAAGCAAACATAAAATAGTAATAATTTTTCTGGTAGAACTGTTACCAAAAAAATGACTCAGATTGTGCATGCTGAATTACATTTTTAGAGTTAGTGAAACACTTGTTGTACCGTACCTGGGCGACTCCTTCCAAGATACGTAACGCAATGAGCAAATAAACACTTCGCCTCGTAGCCACTGGTGTAAGCATGGTGAGAATACTGGCAAGAAGTATACCCCCGCCGAATAAACTCTTACCACCATACTTTGAAGCGAGAAATCCGCCAGGTATCTGAGTTGTGATGTATCCAAAGAAAAATGAACCAAGAATCAAGCCTATACCGAATAGATAAAAAAATAACACATGAGGGTCTCCCAGGGGTTTCTAGAAAACAAGGGAACAACGTATATTTTGCAATGAGAATAAGGGAACAAAGCCAAGGAATCGTAGGGAACAAGGGAACATATAATCTTGGGAAACAGAGGTACTTGGTGAGATCTTTGTGGGGGAAAAGGGAACAAAAGAAATATTTCCAAGGGAACACAGTACATACAAATGCTATAAATAAATAAATAAAGGATACGAACAAAATACCTTGCAACTTAGGGTCCCAGTTAAATTCTGCATCATCCTTGAAAACGTAGGACAAGTATTGTTATATACAGCCAATTCAAAAAAGGTTGTCCTTCGCAAAACCTTTAGACTGCGAGCAATCCCTCCTTAGAAGGAAGGAGGGACTGCAGACAACACTCAAGAAACGAAATACGCGTTGTCGATCCACACAACGCAAAATCCCGATTGGTTCATATAGTTCATGACTGACAGATTGTTTTTTGAAATTAACTTAAATGTATTGTTTTTCAAATTTGAAAGTCAACCGTCAAATTATGTCATATTAATTAAACCGAGAATTAAAATCTCGTAGAATATTTATTCATACTGTCTGAAAGCGTTTAGTATGTTATTTCGAGCGAATACTTAACAATTATTCGCCAAAGGCGAGGTGATTATCGGAGAATTTCCTTTCCTTTTAAGGAGAAACCATGCAGTACTGCTCGCAGTCTACAAAACCTTAAACTCTAAACCATAAACTCTAAGCGCACAAAGCTTAATGGGGGCACAAGTTTCAAGCTTAGTAGTTGAATATTGCAGCTATTTGTGAATGAATTGTTCTCGTAAGGAGATATTTACCACGTCTCTAAGAAATGGGCTCCATATACGATTTATAAATTGATTAAATGATGCTCCGGCATTGTGCTTTGCACGCTTAAGGTTTAGAGTTTAAGGTTTTTCAAAGGATAACCTTTTAAATATAGGTTATCATGTAAGGGGCGAAGCGCGATATCAGTCTTATCGCTTGAAGAGTGAGCGCAGGGAAAGAGAGATAATTATGATAGGGATAAAACTGGTATCGCCTGGTCCCAATTGTATCATAATCTGTTTATTATATATACTTGTGATTTTATCAGGGTCAGAATTAGAATGTTAATCATTCGCACATTGCCCTAATGCAACAATTATTAGAACAGCGGGACAAAAAGCGAAATCAGTGACAGAAAACGATATAACAGTGACAAAAAACGACATCAGTGACATATTGATTTTTGTTTTTATGCCACCCTTTTATCGCCGTGCATGCATGATAATGGCACAAATAATTAGTGATCATGATAAATATATAGGTAATACTAATAGGATGGTTTCAAGTGCAATTTGGATAAAACATACACGAGTGAGTTTTTCAAAGTCAAAGAGCATCAAAATAGCATGAGTCCGAAGTTTGTTTTATCCAAATTTCGCGAGAAACCATCCTATGGCGTATTAATATTATAGTATTACATAAAAATATTCGAACCGTCCACTGACAAAGTTTTCCTGCTTTGTTATATTACATTATAGAACGGTAAGTCGGAAACGACTTGAAAATTCCACTCAGCTATGTAAGTTTTGTTTTGTATTTTCTATTAGTTAAAAAAGATAAAAGCCATATTTTCCACCCGAAGTCAACTTTTACTTTTTGAAGTAATCTGTGACCGTTGTACTTGAGAACTGCTTTAAATTAAACTAATTGGTTGATTTTTTCATCACATTGTTTTTTCCACCAATCACACCAGTTTGTTACTTTTTATTTGTTACAGATTTTTGCACTGTGGTTACAGAAAATTGCACTGTGATTACAAAAAATTGCACTGTGAGAAAATTGCACTGATTACAGAAAATTGCACTGTGATTACAGAAAATTGCACTGATTACAGAAAATTGCACTGTGATTACAGAAAATTGCACTGTGATTACAGAAAATTGCACTGCGATTACAAATTGCATTGTGATTACAGGAAGTTGCACAGTGATTACAGAAAATTGCACTGCGATTACAAATTGCATTGTGATTACAGGAATTAAGTTGCACATGCAGTGATTACAGAAAATTGCACTGCGATCACAAATTGCATTGCTGTTTGAGATTAACTGCATACAAACCTCAGTTTCGTGACCATGTCCAAATGTTTTTACATTATTCACCATCGCAACAATTGCCACACTCATATTGACTCTCATGGCATACCCATTAAAGAAACCAAACATGGCCAAGAGTGCCACTATGTACCGTTTTGGAATAAACCGACATATGCAGCCCAGGCCACCATTGTCGGCATGGACGTGTTTCTCTCCCATGTTTCTAAACAAAGTGTTACAAAATTTATCATTTCAAGACACAAACTGTTGACATTTTTCGAAGTCGCTTAAGTGCACAAAAAACAGCTTAATTTGATTTGATGAAATCGAGGTGGACAATCGCAATGACAAATGTAATCCACGATTGTAAATAAGTAGTTTTCATTGTGAACCAGCAAATTTGGGAATTATAGTCCAGTGACAACATACTGCATGTTTTGTGACGAAAATTTCAACCAATTAAACTGAGAGAGGTAGACATATCAATATTTTGCTTTTACATCTTGGTCTTCCTAATGCGTGCTAAAAGTCTCTCTTTATAGTATTTGATAATCCAGGATAATGTCAAAAATAGCAAATCGATCTGTGTAGCGATGGCCGCACTGCCCGCATATGCCAAGAGGAAAGCGCTATTCAAGATAAATATAAAAGCCCATGCCAGCAAGTAACTTTCAGACAAGACATATATAAACTGAAATAAATAAATTTCAAGCAACGAATTATATTTTTGTAATGTCTTGTTTGAAAGTCACTTGCGTGCAGTCATTTTACGTTACTCCGTCTAACGCCACACGATTTCAGCGGGTTATTAATAATGAACGATTAATGATGAACGATCTTTACCTGAGATACACAATAATCATATAAATAACAGCCCTTCACTTTGCGAAAACGAGCAAAAAGTAGAAATATTAGCATGTAAATAAGTTACCAAATAACTACAAAAATAGGAACCACTGCGGGCACTGGCACTGATAATATCCCTTACTTTGAATGTGTCTTTTTACAGTAAAGTGATTACTTCAGTATTCATTTTCATCGCCACGAAATGTTCGTATTTCGCATGAAATCCGCTATTATTCATAGATCGACTTCAAGGATGACGGGGAAAAAATTTAAAATTCAAATGCAGGGTCTATAGTGAAGGTCGGTGATAAACAATATACTGGTCAAACTACCTCAAAAATATAACAAGAACTTTGAGCGACGGTCTTCGTTCGAAAGCGCAGTTTCGTTCGGCACTAACTTCCAGGCGAAGGGCCTTTCCCGCGGTAAAATGTAACAAAACTTCGACGTTTAGTAGTTCGATCCTGTAATCTCCCTCAAGTAGAAAATGCACAACAGAGTGTCAGAGGAAAAAAACAGATCTGCAGTACTTTCAGTAGCGGAAATTCACTTTTTCCGGTGGGGAGGGGGCAGAATCGTTGATTTTTTAAATTGGCGCGCGGCCGCCGTCGTTTTTAGCCTTTCAATTTCAGGTCAAAATTTCCGACGAAATTGCCAAAACTTTTCGAACTTAAAAAATACAAGTAAGTTGAAAGTAATTTTAATCAGGATGAAGGACATCATTCAATGAACCCAGATTCAAACCTTCAGATATAACATTTTCACAATTTAAGATCTGGTTAAATTATCGAGCCATACCGGTTAACCGGATATAGGAACTTTCCCTACTATACCTACTTTGTAAAAAGGCCTGATAAGCTCAGCCACCAAACGGACGTTGGGCTCAGAACATGAATATAAAAACTAAACCTTATGTTATGAATATTTAATTAACAGTAATTTATGACGTATAACGACAGCGCACCAATTTTCGAACACTTTCATGAAAATATGACCAGCCGGTGATTTAATTGTCCGACCTACCGACAACGAACGCCATCAGCAGCCAGGGACGTCGCGAAACCATCAACATTGGGGGGGGGGTGTCGTCATCTTTGACCAAGTGGTACAAATTTTCCCCTAAAATGTTGTCGACGGGGAGGGACCAAAAACATTTTCTGGACCAACTTAATAAGGGCAAAAAAATGTTTCCTGACTAACATAAGCATATTCAAAATTTTCCGACCAAGATAAGCAAAGCTTCCAATTTTTTCACCGCAAACATAACAAAACCATTTAAAATTGCGAACCATTTCATAACTTTGAGCAATTTCGACCATCATTTATCCCAAATTCCGAGTTTTACCTTCAATTTTAAGCAAATATCAGTTCCATTTTGACCGACTTTGGGCAAATATCAGTTCCATTTTGACCAACTTTGACCGACGTTTGAATTATTGGGGTGTGTTACACCCCCCACCCCCCCTATAGAGACGTCCCTGTCAGCAGCCCATCAAATCACAGTATGCCCAAATATGTAGTCTAGACGGTCTGCCGTTTATCTACTGTATACGATTATAGAGCGTTTGCACTCATTCCCCAGGGACCAACTCGACAAAAGCCATGGCAGCCAGGTTGGTGTTCCAGACAAAAGAGTCCAATTTTAAAAAATTATTTTGAATTGGAACACCAACATGGCAGCTATGACGTCATGTGCAAACGCTCTATAGAGTTCTGGATGCAGGTTCATCGAAAGGAAAGTCGATAAAGTAAAACCTCTAAAAAGACTTGAAATTTTATTATATCAATGAGACAATAACTAAAACTAAGTAAGCTACACTAAATATCTAGTAAATATTTGTCGATACTGTATGTACATAATTTTTTGAACTTTATTTACAAACTGCGAAACTATTTACCGCTCTCTTATAAGTAAAATTGTTTGTACAATTGCTAAATCTATCAAAATATCTCAGCGCCCCACTACCACCCCAACGGCAATGTGCCCGACATTTCAAAATTTTAAAATTGGAAGCAGGCAAAGCATCCGCGCTCGTTGAAGTGCTGCGTCTTTACATTGCAAGTACATCCAAAACGGGAGTCTTGGCTACTTGGAAGAAAACTGAATGCGAATATTTCGAATGAACAGTTTTAAGATTTTTCTTGGGCTGACCTGAGAGGAGGACATTCAGTTTTGTAACGAGTTCGGACAGTTCTTGTCGAGTGTAACCTGTGTAATACACCAGAGTTGGCGTCCACTTGTTTAAATTTTTCATCTCCATGGCTAGGGACAGACAAGCAGCAGCCATCTTTGAAGCTCTAACTGGGACGAAATCGTATTCTAACAAAGACGTCTCGAGGATATAGCGGGCCAATGTTAATGTTTCCATGGTAGCATCAGCAGCCTAGAAATAAACCAGGTTATTTTGTGATCAAATTCAAGACCAGGCTACAGGTATATTAAAATCTTTTGGAACATCAGGGCGCCCAGGGGAAGGCCAGGGGGGTTATAAATAGAAATATCCATAGATACAAGTTGTCAAGTATTCCGGTATCTCCTACCCTGGATTCCAGAGCCTTCGACAGTAAATAATAAATTGAAACGTCGCGAAGGCTCTGGTTCAACGGCGAGATTCTTTGATTAAACCGCGCCAATCACAAAACAGAATTACAGAATCTGTACTAAAACCACTAATTCTGTTTTGTGATTGGCGCGGTTTAATCAAAGAATCTCCCCGTTGAACCAGAGCCTTCGCGACGTTTCAATTTATTATTTACTGTCGAAGGCTCTGGAATGCAGAGTAGGTATCTCCCAGTATTTAGAACTTTCCCGTTCTCGCCACCTGAGATTTCAAAATTTTCACTTCTAAACCGTTCAATGCATACACTGGCTTGTAAATTCCTGCAAAATATCAATGACTCCAGGTGCACTTTACTAGCAGCAGGGCCACAGCGATATTAAATGAAATAGGACAAAATATATCTTGAAGTCAATCGTTCTTGCTATATATTAATGTTCTCACCTTAGCGAATCGTCGCAAAAATCGATACGGGATTGGAATGGCTAAACAGTAATCCAGTGCAGCAAAAACTTTTGTTTCCATTCTCAAAAGATCTGTTTTCTTGTAAGCATCGTCGCAAATGAACAGAAAGTCGTCTAGGTAAGGTGGATGTCTCTCCTGCATATAAAAAATAGATTTGATTCCATAAATCGACGAAAAGGGATACAATTAACAGAAACGTACAATATAATGATGGATGTGGCCCATTATACTGGGTTGCAGGCAGGCAAAGGTAACCATGATTCATCCAGTGTTGTAACGAGTCACCTATACAGTAGGTTGAGTCACGAGTCGAGTCATTTCAGTTTCTGATCGAGTCGAGTCAGTGGCTTCACTCGAGTCAAGTCAGCAGTTTCACTCGAGTCGAGTCAAGTCGAGTCATTGGTTTAAGTAGAGTCGATAGCTAGACTTAACTCGAGTCAGGGAATTTGATCAAGTCCACCCACATCCTTGTCCCCAGGGCCTCTCGGCCGCGCGCGTCCTCCCTAGGCCCTGGAACATACGGAACCGGAAGTGCAAGTAAACTTGCAGTAGTTTCTAAAGCGCATGGTCTTGAATTGGGACACTTTAGCACCCGTAACAATTTTCAAAGTGAAGTATTACAAAGAAACGAAGTATTTGCGTTGACATATGTTGATAGAATAATTTTTCCTAGCTAAAACTGCTCAACTTCTGCGAAAAAGGATTTCTCTGAGAAGCCAATCAGATCTCTCGCTTTAGTCGCCTAACACACAGCCTACTTTTCAACGAGTGACCGAGTGAAAATGGCTCTGGGGACGAGAATGGTCTACCTCACGCTTTTTGTAATGGTTCGCTACCTTAGCTTGCAGTTTGAAATTAGTAATCAAATCTACGTTTTAAGCTATAAATCACTTTAGTCATGTAATAACAGTATCTGGGCAGCCATAGGCTGTACCAATATCACAGTTCTAGTCAATATTAAGTACAACCACACGAGATGTCTCATCATGCCTGCTGATCGAGTGTACGTATATACAACTAGCATAACTTGCAACTGCATGGAGTCAGAATTAACAAAGAATCGACTTTAATTAACCATGCTTTGCAAGTTAATTTGAAATTATATAGCACTTCATAAATACCAAAAATGAAGATAGCCGGTCAGAATTAGCATAACTACCATAAGTACAAAAAATTTTGAGACTCCATTTTAAAAACTGTGGCACTAGCGTTGTTTCTAAAAACAGAAATGTAATATAGGCATGCCCGTCAGGAATATACTGTATTCTATGCAAATCCCATATATTTTCTGATAAAGTTTCGAAGTTCTCATTGTTCACAGGGCTCATATTGTTCTTCCCAAGCAATACAATCACAATATTTTTGATGAATTTATTCTCTACAAGTTGAAGCGGAGTTGACTCGAGTCATTTGCCGGCAAAATCAGCAAGTCGAGTCCGAGTCATTTGGGGCTGTTGACTCAAGTCGAGTCATTTTTCGTTTTGGACTCGAGTCGCTGAAAATAGCAACTCGAGTCGACTCGAGTCCGAGTCAATGACTCGACTCGTTACAACACTGGATTCATCTATAACACGATAACATTATATTGGTTGCAGGGCTACATAGAAAATTCCGGCACGTAACCATGAATCATCCATCACTGGTGAATTTTCTATGTATCCCTGCAACCAATATAATGTTATCGTGTTATACTTATCCTGAGCCAGCTGAAACTATAAAATAATTATGCCGGTATATTAATTATAGCTTCAAATCCAACATCTAATCAGACATACAGTACCTCCATCTTGCAAGCAAGGAAAACTGCTGTAGCTCCTAATAGCTGAAGCTGGTCCCTTTCAATGTTAGTTTTCTCCAGATAATGATCAACTATTTTCACAGCAAGGTACAATGTCTCGTGGTACAGTTCAAAGTTTTCTTGAACTTCAACCAGCCAGTCAACCAAGATGGCTCTCATGTTTGCATTGATTTTTGGTCGTTTAGACAGATACGCTGTGAGGACATACATTTCCTGCAGACAGAATGATGGAACATTGAATTAATAATTGTCAAATACTGTATTAGTGACGTCACAGTGTATTATAGTTCAATCTAATCACACCATTGCCACAAATGTACATACAAGGTCTTCCCTATAGGTAAAGGGTGAAACAGCCAAGGCCTCCAAGGACAGCGGAAATGGTTTTTATATAAATGTTAATAAATTCTTGCATAGTTACTGTAAACAGAGTAGGAAACTAGCAGGTGTATATTATTTCTTTCCTGTGGGTCAGCAACCGAATTGACAAACAATGCAATTACATACAATCTCTGGATGGTTATGGGTATACCCAACAAAGTATCCATTTCCAAGAGGATTGAATGGGGTAACAGTGCCCCAGGCCCCAACCTGACAGTCCCTCCCCCTGTTAGGTAAATTGGAAGCAGACAGATAGACAGTATATACACATTATGCAGCTAGGATAGTCTTCAATGAAATACTGATGAAATACATATGGAAAAAGAAATTTTAAATACCTCTCGTTTTTTCATATTTTTGAAAATCTCATTGGCATACTCGGCCATTGCAAATTCATCTGTAGTGTCTGTGTCAATATCATTATAAACAGGTTTTTCAGGTTCTGCCTAATTGTTGGAAATGTTATTTTGTTGTTAAAATAGACAGTCAGTATACAGTAATCACTAACTCAATAAATTAATTTCAGTTAATTAAATAATTGTATTACTAAATAATATATTCCATATTATTGTTGTAGCAATTAGTTATATATCAAATGAATTTAAACAGTTAAAGCTATACTGTAGCTGCCCTGTTAGGGTGGATGTGCATGCTTTTCCTGTTTGTAATGTCTACTATTTTTTTTGTTTTACCATAGTTTTGTAAATTTTAGTGAGTTCGATTAAATTAAAGGTTATTAATATATACTACAGTAGTATGATAATTATATGTGACCACTTTAAAGCATCACTTTCAAAATTTTATTATACAGTTAAAACAGTATTGTTTCCTACTGTTTCCTGTCACTGTCACAATTTGAAGTTTGAATTACAATTCATACAATTGTATTATGTGTACAGTATGTCAGACTATTTTATTTTCTACATGTGATCACCATTTTAATGCATTGTACTTACAGGTACCACAACACCACCCAATTCAGAATTTGCAACCTCAGAGTTCCTAAATACAAAAGAACATCAAAGAAGTTTTAAATTCAGACTATGGTCGACCGACACATTACTATTTGTTTCACTTCTATTAAGGGACATATTCTATGCAAGAGGTCATTGGTTCACGCTATAAAAATTAATTAAACAAATTTTGTATAGAAAGGTACCGTATGCAGGTTCAAATTATGTTTGAATCATGCCATCTTCCAACACACAGTAATTTAATGCAGTGGAATAGAATTTAACTAAACTAAAGGTAGATAGCAGCAGGCAACAATACAGGCCTTTTGCAGTAATTGGTTATGAATGTGAGCTCATCTCCCTTTATTAACTAACAAGCAGCTGTGTCAAAATGAACCCTGCATACAGCTACTGTAGGAACCTCATTGTTTGTAAAAGTGCAAAGTTTCAGCTCATAACAAGCAATATGGAAATAATGGTATTCAATTTATGACTGAAAATTTGTATGGAAATGCTCATTATAAAGCAACAGAGCATGGTCCTAGGGATGAACATCAACACTTGCAGCAAGGGTTGGGCGGGTATGGAAAAATGTGTGATCACCATGGTTGTTAGGGCGTTATAGAGATTACAAAACTAGAAGTTTATCAACATCACTCACAATGAACAACTCCTCTGGGGTAGTCACCCCACCATGGTGCACTCATGATAGTTCATATTAAGGAAGAGTGAACAAATGTAGTAAATAAATATTAAAGCTGTTGTGTTAATATCAAACTTATCAAATTATTTAATACCTAGCAGTTTCAGATTGGCTTAATAATTCAGAGAAAACTATATCTTCTAAATCTTCCTCAGTAAAAGCAGGTTTATTTTCTTCAGTAATTTTGCTGAAAATGTAAGACAAGAATTGAGTGGAAATTGCATTCATTCATATACATCAGTCTATAATAAAGTAATAAACATGTACATGCATCCACTTTTCTTCAGGACAAATTTTTTAATTCTTTCAAAACTGGGGAGGGGAGGCATATCCTCTCTCAATGTTTTCATCAATCATCTATGACATAAAATATATCAAATCTGTGGCTTACGCCATTTCATATTATCATAAAACGTGAATAAAATACATAAATAGAAATATTTTCGGGGGAACATGCCCCTGGATGATTAAATCCTCCCAATCGCTTGGCTAGCTACAGCCTACAGTACAACCCTGTAAACTTATATGATTAGTTGCATTTTCTGTAAAGGCCCGCTTGTCGCTTGATACCTTGCATTTTGTGATGTTAAACTCTGGTTTTCGACGTTTTTCTTCGCCACAAAACTAGCTTCTTTTGACCTTCTGCGCGTTTGATATGTCGACAGCTGACGAGTAGCATTTATATTCTTGTCCGCCTTAGATTTCACGGCACATTTTGCTTTGGACTTTCTCGCGTTCGATTCCAGTTCTGAAGCCTAAAAAATACACTTAAAATCTTAGGTAACAAGATAGGTAAGTAGTTTAGGGAAATCATAGAGCAATTCGTTGGTTACAGTAGAAAGAACACGGGTTTTTACAACATACATTTGTCATGTCGCCCAAAGCAGATCGCTTTCTTGTCGGCGCGTTGTTCGGAGATTCTTCAGCCTGTCTTTTTGCATTTTCTTTAGATTTTCTTCGATCCGAAGGCATAACTCTTGAACTTGTCGTATTTCCTTTACCAGCGATGCTTTCCTATAAAAAATGAACAAGATTTAAAAGAATAAAAAGCTGTTTAATTGTCCACGCTGCAAGCACGCGGCGTTCTTCGTCATTCGAAATGAACTTTAAAGACGCCAGCAAAGCATTTCGTATACAAACCTTCGCATTCTCCTGGTTTGAGGCGAGAGAAATACGTTGAGATTTCATTGTGATCTATGTCTTGGACAAAAATTCAGCAAGTATTCCAAATGAGCAGCCTTTTCTTAACGCCTTCTTCTCGAATTCTGAAATGAATCGAATGTCTGCTCGAATTTGTTGTTGGCGGCCTTTAAATTTCCCACACCTGATTGGCTAACGTGTATTGAGTAAACCAATCATGTTCATTTGTTCGAAACAGAGAATACGTAGTCTTAGCAACCTTCGCGCATGGTCTCCATACTCGTGACGCTATCTACAAGTAATGCATGTTCAGAAGTTCATTGTCAGAAGTTCATTGTCAGTCATTGTCAAGAATTCATTCAATATGCATTTGTGATTTTACAATTTTAGTGATATTTGCATTGTGGCAAATTATTTTTATTTTTTCTTGGCATCTCTCATGTGTTTTCCAATTTTTGGTCCATTCATTCTCACCATTCATTCAGTTACACTGACTGTAGAAATATACAATGGACTGGAAGCCGTTTCTTTACGGAGGCTTGGGATCAATGACAGCAGAAGTTGGTGAGTGTGCCCCCTAGTTCGACTCCTTTCATGCTGTACTTCAATACACCGTAATCTTACCTTATTATAAATTTATTATTACTCCATTCAATATTGTTGACATCCCTGTTGACATCCCTGTTTACAAGGTCTCTGCACTGCAACCCTTGGAATTAGATTTTTTCCAGAACACCCTTGACCCTTCTGAAAATACCCAGGACTGTGCTGGCCCTCAATCAAAAGTCACCAAGGCGGCCTAGAGTAATCCTCGCAAGGGATTTTGCAGACTGGTAAAGCCCTGACTAGAAGGTTTGGAAATTGCACGGCTGAGATTTAGAAAATTTAAATAGTAAATATATAGAAAGCATCAAAATTGAACACCCAATATCTCGGTTGTGCAATACAAACTTTCCATACTGTGGTAATGCATCAGTCAATTCTAGCATTGCCCATCCCCCCCCCGGGCAACCCCCGGGCATTTGCACTTTTTTTTTGCCCGGGGGCCGGGCATTGGTACTTGCAAAGTTGTCCCGGGGGCGGGGAATTGTTTACTGGCCGGGCATTTGACACGACCGGACGTTTCTGCGACGAACACATGCTATTATATTAAAATGGCGTCGAAGAATTCGAGGGTAAAAACGAGAATTTTTTCGATATTTTCATTCACAAAACGTCACACCAATTGCACATGAGTTGTGTTTAACTATCTAGCATAAAAACACTAGAATTCATAGCACAATCCTTGTTTATCTTGCTATGCCTACGTTATTGTATATTAACCACTGAACCGACGAGCACGTTTTTCATGTTCAAAAGTTGGGATGACTGCTGTAGCTTTTATACAAGGAAGCTAATACTGTAAATGGAAGTTTTGAGGTCTAAAATACATTCTATAAATGAGTCAGTGTGCCCTGGGGCCGGGCATTTGTCATCTTTTTTTTTGCCCGGGGGCGGGGCATTGCCACACTTTTCCTGCCCGACCCCTGGGAATTGTCAACTTAAAGAAAAAAAAAGTGCAAATGCCCGGGGGGGGGGGATGGGCAATGCTAGAATTGACTGATGCATAAAGCCAAATTTTCCTTGTTATAGAGACTTAGGCCCTCCTTGGAAGGATCTAGGGCCTATACAAACTCCAAAACGTAATTGGGGGTCTTGTTCCAAGAATTGATTTTTGGTACCATCTCAAATGAAAAGCCCATGTCTCAAATGAAAAGCCCATAGGCTGTGGGCCCAAGGCAAGTTGACCCTCTGCCCTTCACTCATGAATGGGATTCTGATCCGGATCCTGATGGTAGTCATTGTAGTGCATTTTTGTTGTGGAGGTAGACAATCTCTGGAGGTTAGGCATGTGGACCTACAATCCTGATCAAAACCTTCTGTGACACTCTATTAAAACATTCCTCTGTGGCTTTTTTTACTGTGACACCAGAATAATTTACTCCCCCCCCCCTGTCTCGGCCAAAACATTATGTTGGCTGTATTACAATTACTTGAACCATATTCTGGAATACACTCAACATTGAATGGTGAAGGTAAGGTTATATAAGCATGCAGGACAGGAATGCAATGGCAAACAAACTCATTGAACCAAATGATTGCAGAAGAAAACCTGTTGTCTATTATCCTTCGTATAAAAATACTGTAATTAATACATGTTAAGGATCAAGATTAACACAGGGTTTATGATTGAGAAAAGTTCTAGGACCCAATTTAAAATCATGATAATCCATATTTTGCCATTGTAAATTACAGAGCCATGGCAACGTCTAAAGCGGTCATGGGATTTTAATTGTTAATTTCTTCTCATTTTTTTTGCATTAATATGATATCAATAGCCATCCTCATTGCACTTTTGTCCTGCTTCTTGAGGTTCTTAAGAACAGTTGTTCTTTATATTAATTATGAAAGTGTAAAATTTAAGGCAGTTTCTTGGCACGTCCCCGTATTAGATTAAGCCTTGCTTAAAGTCGCTAGTGTCAGGGTCTTAGCCAGGATTTGCAACTTGGGTGTCCAAATTTGAAATTTCGTTTATGACACCCAATTTTTGCCATATGGAACCATGGCACCAGTAATTCAGCAATGTGATTATTCCCAAATTCTGGGAGTAATCGGTGACCACACTTGAGAATCGCCAAAAAAACTAATAATATATTCAATTATTCAGATTATGTCACTACTCGCTAGTCACTACACTGACTACAGTAGTACAGTTTAAGTAAATCTGTGAATTTTATTAACATTACGTTGTCACTTTCATGCTATAAATACAGTACTTGTAGCTTTGATAAGCTAGTGTAAGCAAAGAACACAACCAGAAAACAGCAAAAAGCAACTGATTATCTCATATAGTTATATTCTGCGGTTTTTAATTTGGCAGCTAGGAATCTTTCCGCTGCAGCTTGCAAGTGAGCAATGTTTATTTTCTATGGTATTTTATTCTCAGCAGCTTGTCTAACCGTCTATGGTCAGTTGGTTTCGCAGTCGTGTTTTTATGCGATTCTGAATGCTAAACACCCTTTCTGCTTCTGCATTTCCAACCATTACACACAAGCAAGTTGCCATAGTTGAAGGTTACGGTGACCCGGTGGCCCAGAAGGGACATCACTTTAACAAAGATAAATAATACTAATATTATTTTCTACTACCACTTTCATTCGAATTTTGTGCAGACCATTACTTCAATAAAAAAATATTACATTTTATTAAAAATGAACACACACTCTCTCACTAAAAATGTGCAGCATGTCTTTACTAAACTTCTTAAAACGCTGCGCGCGCAGGTTTACGCGAGGAGACTGGGGCGAATTTTCAAAATTACTATACCTTCCACTTAAGAAGATTTTTTTCCAGAATGGAGAATATTTTGCTTCCATTTCAATACGAATTTTTTATAAAAAAATGCAGCTATCAAATAAAATTTATTTTCACGTTATTAATGTATCCTTCATATTATGAAAGATTATTGAGTGAGTGAGTGTAATATTTCAACTTTTACAAGAATTTTAGAATGGAAATTTTCTTTGAAAAAGTTCATTACGGAAAGATATTTTTTATCACACTGTGGAAACACGAAACGCGCCAACAACGTTCATATGTTCATATCCTCACTGAATATACATAAAACTAGATCGAATATGTCTGAGAAATTTAAGGAAGATATTAGAAACACAATCCAACAAACTGTGAGGGAAGAACTGTCAAAAGTTCTGCCAAGTAATAAAGATACAGGTGAATGCAGTAGTTCAGAAACTTCGCAAAGTACGCCGACAACATCGACGACAAGTGCAACACCAAATAGCGAGACGAGTTGTCAGTCTCGTGGTCAGTCTTCAACGTTAAGTTTTCGAGACTTTTATCGTATTCGAGAGGCTAGTAGACAAGAGGATTTTAAACCAACGAAAAAGAAGAAACGTGGAAATGAGGCATCAGCTTCGGGGGCGAAGTCAAAACAACCAAAGGAAGTTGAAATCAAAGTCGGTATGGCATATGTTATTGATGGTGTCTTTAAAATACGACGAAATAAGACTCACATATTGAAAGTGAAAACTGATATCGAGAAGGAGGAATTGATTGAGAAAGCAATCATTAAACATGGCAACTTTGATCAGTCATTTGATCGTGTAAGTCCCTATGTCCTTCTTTATCCAGACTTTAGTGAGGTTAACTTTGTTCCAGGAACTGAAGAAATATTCTCTCTGGTGAAATATAAGGAGGCTATCTCCAAAGACTACAAGAAACTTACATTTTACCTTTGCCTTCGTGATGAGTATCAGTACAACCAGTTTTCTGACTGGTCTTCTCCTGATGACAATGAGGAGAACAATGACACTAAACATGAGAAAAATGCCACAGTGAACACAACTAAAGATAGCCCGCCTATTTTTGTCATGGATGATGATGACGACCCAATGCTTTTACTTGCTATCAACCGGAGCCAACAGGATGAAAATATGCCTGTTCTTAGTGAAACAGCAAACAATGAGGAAAAGATGTCTGCAGAGCCCAGTTCACTAGATGAGGCACTTGAATTGAAAATGAATGATATCCCCAATGACAATTACACAGTTATTGAAGTAACCAGAAAACATCTGGTGGAAAGAACATTTGAGCTGCTGAAAGATGAAGATGATATAAAGGGTAGAGTTATAGTTAAGTTCATTGGGGAAGAAACAGTGGACACTGGGGGTGTTACTAGAGAATTTTTTACTAATTTTTTTCAGAGTATATTAAGTAATGGTAATATATTCCGTGGTAGCTATCCCAATTTAACCTTTAGACATAACTTGCATGCATTAGAAGAAGGCCAGTTTGAGATGTTCGGAATATTAACTGCCATTGCCTTACTGAATGGATGCCCTGGGCCTCATTTTCTTTGCCATTCACTTGCATCATTCATTCTTGACAATCAATTAGAGGTTGTTCTAGATGATGTGCCTGCAGAATCAGAGTTTAAAACAAAACTGATTCAGATTCAAGGTTGTAATAATGAGGCTGAGCTTTCAAATATAGTCAATTCTTTCCCTGAACGATTTGACATGGGGTACACTAAACCAGTTCTCACTTTGAATGACAAGGATGATCTAATTAGATTTTGTTCCAAGCATGTTGTAATAAGCAGTGTTGCTGAAGAAATTTTTAGTTTTCGCAAAGGTTTAAGCATCTTTGGTGTGTTGCATGAATTATGTAAGTTTAATGAAGCTGGACTGGCAGAGTTAGTGTACCAAGATATAAACACCGATCATGTCAAAGCGTGTTTTAAACCTTGTTTCTCAGCTGTTGGGACAGATGAGCATGGCAAAGAAACAGAAATTGTGTACAAATGGCAACAGTTTTTGAAAAAATCCAAAAGTGGTAAATTAAAATCTAAGGTGCTTGCTTGCCCAGATTGGAATAATCCTGATCAGGCTATAAGTGTAGATGATTCACCAGTTGTTAAAAGTCTTTCCCTAAATGATATATTACAGTTTGGGAGTGGTTCACGATTCCCTAATTTTAAAGGCTCTCTAGCATTTGATCACCAGTGTACTGATGCACATAAGAGGCTAACTGGTAATACCTGTGCTTTAACCATTTGCATACCGGTAAATGAGAGGTACACAAAATGTAACACAGACACATTTGCCTTAAATATCATGGAAGACATATTTCAAGACTATGGACTTGGGCAGAGATAGGTTCACCATATTTAATGCTCTATAACAAAATGTTGTGTTGTGTTTATTAATTAAGAATAAGTAAATTGGTAGCTTGTTCTATGTTGCAGACTGTAAATCACCTATTTGTGCCCTCTCCCAGCATCCCCA